CGAGCAGCTGTGCGACAGAGCCAACCTCACTTTCCGACCGCTGCAAGGCTGTGCCACCTCTCCCCGTAGAGTCTGGTGCCTCATGATCCTGCCCTGAACCAGCTCAGTGGATTTGAGAGTTTGTAAAAGCACAGGCATTTCCTCTTGTGCCTCTGGCACAGCTTAGATGGGAATGTAAATTGAGTAGGGCGGGATCTCAGGGAGTCACCAGGGCGGAGCAAATAGCAATGGCAGCGTCTCCGCGGCTCCTCGCCTCTCTGGGACTCTGGGACTTCGCGTCCCCCAGTGCGGGAGAGCAGCTGCGCTCCAGAGCCTCCCTCGCTTTTCGACCGCCGTCATCTTGGTTCCTCCTCTAATTGTTTAATAACATGCTATATAGTCTCCATGTATTTGAGTGCTTTTAAATTTTTTATTGTAGTTGATTTCTAACTTCATGCCATTGTGATCTGAAATGCTTGGTTTTATATCAATCTTCTCGAATTGGTATAGACTTATTTTGTGCCCTAACATGTGGTCTATCTTTGAAAATGCCCCATGTGTGCTTGAGAAGAATGTATATTCTGTTGCATTGGTGAGAAATGTTCTGTAAATATCAGTTATATTTATCTGATCTAGTATGTCATTTAAGGCCTCTGTTTCCTTATTCATTTTTGTCTAGAACAGTGGTTCTCAACCTTCCTAATGCTGCGACTCTTTAATACAGTTCCTCATGTTGTGGTGACCCCCAATTTCATTGTTACAAATTGAACATAATTAAAGCATAGTGATTAATCACAAAAAATATGTAATTATATATGTGTTTTCCGATGGTCTTAGGTGATCCCTGTGGGTCACGACCCACAGGTTGAGAACCGCTGGTCTAGAAAATCTATCCAGTGATGTCAGTGGGGTGTCAAAGTCCCTTACTATGACGGTATTACTGTCAATCTCTCCCTTAAAGTCCATCAATACTTGTTATATATAGTTGGGTGCTCCAGTATTGGGTGCATATATGTTTACAAGGGTTATATTTTCTTGTTGAATCATTCCCTTTAGTATTATGAAGTGGCTTTCTTTATGTATTGTTATGGCCTTTGTTTTGAAGTCTATTTTATCTAATATGAGTGTTGCTATCCCAGTTTTCTTTTCCTTTCCATATGCATGGAATATATTTTCCCACCCCTTTACTCTCAGTCTGTGTGTATCTTTTGTTCTGAGGTGGGTTGCTTGTAGACAGCATATATATGGGTCATGTTTTCTTACCCATTCAGTCACCCTATGTCTTTTGACTGGAGCATTTAATCCATTTACATTTAAGGTTATTATTGATAAGTATTTCTTTATTGCCATTTTTATTTTATTTATGCCTATGATCCTCTCTCCCCACTTTTCTTTTTCATAGAGCAGTCCCTTTAACATTTCTTGCATTTCTGTTTTGGTGGTAATGTACTCCTTAACCTTTTTATGTCTGGAAAGCTTTTTATTTCACATTCAATTTTAAATGATAGCCTTGCTGGATACAGTATTCTTGGATTTAGGCCCTTGCTTTTCACTACTTTGAGTACTTCATGCCACTCCCTTTTGTCCTGAAGTGTTTCTATTGAAAAGTTAGCTGACATTTTAATGGGAATTCCTTTACAGGTACTTTTCTATCTCTCTCTTGCTGCCTTTAAGATTCTTTCTTTGTCTTTACATTTGCCATTATGATGTGTCTAGGTGTGGGTCTCTTTGGGTTCATCTTGATTGGGACTCTCTGTACCTCCTGAACTTGTGTGACATTTTTCTTCACCAGGTTGGGGAACTTTTCTGTCATTATTTCTTTAAACAGGTTCTCTGTTCCTTGCTGATAATTCTATAATGTGGATGTTGTTACATTTCATGTCATCCCAGAGCTCCTTTAAGCTATCTTCCTGCTTTTTAATTATTTTTTTACATTTGCTGCTTTAATTGGGTATTTATTTCTATCTTGTCTTCCAAATTGCTGATTTGATCCTCTGCTTCATCCAATCTACCTTTAATATCTTCAAGTGTGTTCTTGATGTCATATATATCATTCTTCATTTCTGCCTGGTTCTTGTTCATGGCCTCTGTTTCCCTTTTTGTGCTATTTTAATTAGCACTAAGTTCCTTAAGCATCTTTATAACCATTGTTTTGAACTCTATGTCTGATAGGTTGCTTGCCTCCATCTCATTTATTTCTTTTTCTGGAGAATTCTTCTTTTCTCCCATTTGGGGGTTGCTTTTGTGTCTATCCATTTTACCTGTCTCTGTATTTACTTCTATGTATTACATAGAACTGTTATGCCTTCCAGTATTTGTGGGATGGCCTAGTGTAGAAAGTATTTTGAAGGGTCCAGTGGTGCAGTCTCTTTGTTCACCTGAGGTAGATGCTCTAGGAATACTCCTTGTGTGCATTATTTGGGCTCTCCTGTTGTAATTGGGACTTGATTGTTGATGTCCCATTCCTGGGAAGGATATCCCTTTGGACTTGCTGCTAGTGAGGTTCAACCCCAACATCTTTGTGCCAGCTGTTATACAGTGCTAACAGAATGGAATAAGACACAACAAGGCCAAACCAAAGCACCACAAAATCAAGCTACTCACTGCATCAACAACTGGAAAGACTAAGAAGGAAAAAGAAGAGAAAGCAAAGCAAAGCACAGAAAAATATAAAAAGAATGCTAAAAGACATGTGACCAAAGATTTAGAGGTGATACAAAGAAAAAAGGAGAGCGCTGTGGCCAGTTTGGCTCAGTGGATAGAGCATCGGCCTGCGGACTGAAAGGTCCCGGGTTCGATTCTGGTCAGGGGCATGTGCCTTGGTTGCGGGCACATCTCCAGTGGGGAGTGTGCAGGAGGCAGCTGATCGATGTTTCTCTCTCATCGATGTTTCTAACTCTCTATCTCTCTCCCTTCCTCTCTGTAAAAAATCAATAAAATATATTTTTAAAAAAAAGGAGAAAGAAGAAGGCAAAAAAAGGCTATATGGAAGCAAGGAAGAAGCTAAGAGAACTAGTATAGGAGGAAAAAAGAAGAGGAAACAGAAAATAAATGAAATAATAATAATGAAATTAAAGCATAGTAATAATGGGTATATGAAGTTATAAATAGGAAAAATAAAAACAGAAAAGAAATGGGAAAAAAGAGAAAAACAAATAAGAAAAAAATAATAATGAAAGGCTAAAGTAGAATAGAATCAAAGGAAAGAGAGAAAATAGAGATATGCAATAAAAAAAGAAGAAAGAAAAGAGTGTGTGTAGGGGAACAACAAAAAACAAAAAATCCACTCAGACACACACACACACACATCAAAAAACCAAACCACACACACTCAAAGACCTTTGGGTCCGCTGGCTGGAGTTGTGGGGCTAGCTGGATTTTGTTCTGATGTTGAATCTGGTCTCTTGGTGTGTCTGTCCTGAATCACTGCCCTTTTTGCAACCTGATCGAGGTCTGAGAGGTTGAAGCCCCTAGTAGTCCAGTGGTCAGGACTCCTTGGCCCAGAGGCTGGGTCTGCCTTGAGTCTCACACTTTTTCCCTGTTCTGAGCTGTACTCCCTTTCCCCATGGAGTTGGACCTGTAAGTGTCAGCTACAGGTGCTAGGGGTCCCACTAGCTTCCACTCGCTGGTGGCCCCAGGCAGTACCTGTGGTGGGGGAGGGGGCATGCATGAAGCCCCCTGGCATTCCACTCCCTGGCTGTCTCAGTCAGTGCCTGTGTCAGGGGACGCTTGTGAGGTCCCGCTGGTGTTCCACTAGCTGCCCCTCTTGAGCAGTGGATGCAGCAGAATGCAGGTGAGGTCTTGCTGTCCTTCAACTTACTGCATGGTCAGAGTCAGTGTTCAAGGCTAGTCTGGGTGGTGGTGACGCTGTGCTCCTAGCCGCTGCCACTCTCCCCTTCAAGATGGTGTGGTTTCTGAGCCAGAGCCGTGCCCACCCAGGGAATACCTATGGTGGTAGCAAGGGCTCTTTGCCCAGGAGAGCCTGAACCACCCGCCCCGGAGACTCCTACACGATCTGACTGGTAAACACACACACACACACACACACACACACACCCTGCACATCCACACACTCTCTTCTCACTCCCTTACTCACTCACTCACTCTCTCCCTCACTCCAGTTCTGCCAGCCACCATGTTGGAATCTCCAAAAAGATTATTAAATTATATTCTGTGGCAGTGAAGTACTGCTTTAAGAAAAGGCTAATAAGTTCAGATTTCCCTTTTAGAGAGGTCATTTTTGCTACATGAGTGGAGAATGGTTTGGAGGCAGGAAAGACTGGATAAGGAGATCCTTGATGAAAAGATCCTCAATTTAGGAAATGGTAGTAATAATTGAAATATCAGATGAGAGAGGGAGAAATTGAGGACAACTCCCAGGTTTCTGGTTTGGGCAACTGGGAAGATGATGATGCCATTTACTGGTACAAGAAAACAGGGAAGAGTGAAACAGATATGAGAGATGATGATGATTTATTTAATATTTATGGAGAAATAGAACAAAGCTTTGCGTTATCTGAGGCTTTTGGAGTGAGTTCTGAGCATTCTTAGTAGTCAGATAACTTTCAAATATGTTTTATTTCAAAAAAGTTTGTATTAGTGTTTTCTTTGTTTCTAAGGGAGAGGGTTGCTATGGAGACTAATGATGTCATAATTCCCTCCTGTGAACCAGTTAGAGCAGTCTGGTGGTTCTGGCTCAGTCTTCAGGCTGAAGGCTAAGTCATCCCATCCTGGCCACAGATGTAATGTACAGAAAAGTGTGGGTGTGGGAGTTGGAGGCGGGTGAAGGGATACAGGTTTTGTTTTCAGCTTTATAAGAAGGATGAGACTAGAATCCTCAATTTCCAAATACATTGGTTCCAAACTTGATTTTTTTGGTTCATGGTTCAGAGGGGCACAATTTTCCCAAATCTTGGTAGGAAGGCCTGCAGAAAGTTCCCAAATGTGTTTCTAGTCACATTTAGTCATTTGGTTATTTGAAGTAAGATAAAGTTAAAATGTTGTATTTTTTTTTTTCTTAGAGTGGAATTTCAAGGTATTAAATTTTAGAGAAATGGCTTTCATTCATTTGGATGTCAGATGTCTATATGCCATTCTTATTTGCACAGCATTTGGCTCTACTTTGTCTTCAAACACTGAGATAAAAGGTAAACCAACAATGGAGTAGTTTTAAAATTAGGGTTATTAACTGCCTTTTCAACGTTCCCTAAGAAAATGCATGACAAGTAGGTGGATTGTTATTGGAATTAATTCAGGAAGTCCATACACAAAAGATATGTTCTTACTAGTCAGCCTCATGTATAAGGTAACTGATGATAAATATTTTGTGGGATAAAAACCAAACTTAAGCCAAACTCAATAGCTATTTATACATGAGACTGACTAGTAAGAATATATTTTTGTTCATGGGCTTCCTGAATTAATTCCAAAACATTTCTAAATGTTTTATATAGTCCTATCTAATGAATAGGTTAATTATCTGACACCTCACTGCCTGGTACCCAACTAACTGAAACTTTCCTTAATTACTATCCTTAACTTTTTTAAAAAACCCTGCCACAATTTCTTTCTGTGGATATTTTCCCCCTCACCTCAGTGTTATAAAGTATTAAAATGAACAACACAATAGAAATGAGAGAGATTTAGCAGCAGAAAGGCAGCATGAGGGTCATAGTATAGTACTGCTAGCTTTGCTAGTACAAAAGTTTATA